GATAAATATATTTGAATACACATTTAGCTGATCATGTAACCTTATTGTACTCCAATTCCCAGAGACCAATAGCAAATATACTTTTAGTAATATTTGGAATTAAAATACTTTTCCTTTGTTGACAAATGGGTGTAATATCAATTATCATTAACATATCCATAGAATCATAGTTCAACAACTTGTAAGCTGCAAGCCGATTATTGATGCTGGCAACTATATTTGTTGTTATTGAAATTGTACGGATTCATTAGAATCAGGAAGTTATCAAGCAAGGAAAAAATACATTTGCCTATTTCGCAGACACCCCCCCCCCGTTATACAGTAAAATAAATTACATTGTGACGCTGAAGTGGGGACATTATTATATTGAATAGTAAGTAGACAAATGGAGACGCGTAGTCTGTTTATCTGTTTATCGCATAATACAGCGGTTGATAAAACAGCATGACAATGTCTTACACTGCGTACTCTAAGGCTGTTTGCATTGTTTGTCGTATTTTGCACAGGGATTTCTATGAAGGGTATAAAATTATAAAACACTTTCACAGAAATAGGACGTGCCAGTAAATAACGAAGCAAAAAACTTGTGCAACTCAAGACTTGAAGTTGCATGTAACTAACACGCATTTCTGTCCTGTGTTGTAACGACATTTGGAAAGAATCGGAAATTTAAAACTGGTAGTAGCCAACAATTTGTCACAATGCTTGGCTTTTGAATTACGGCGTCATTACATGTACCCATTCTTGAACACCAATCATTAACATTTTTTGTATTCAGTTTCAAATATTGTCACTTGAACAAAATCTGTAAATATGGACAATTTAGCAACAAATTCTATAGAAAATTCTATAAAAAATAAATATTTACAAATAAGTTTTATGACAACCCTATGTCCCCATTTTTCACAATATGTTACCGACCACAGTTATGGTGAGATCAGTTACTATGGAAACCTAAATTTTGATCCACTGTTTGTCGCGAAAAATAGTTAAAGGGGCACCTCCAGTTAAGCCTAATCCCACAGCAAATTTACTTTCTGGATTAAAATTACAATGGATAACAAAAGATAGGTTAACATTGTAAACAACATAAACATAGTGTCCCATGATACTTTGGTGCACTCCCTGGGTTTGGAAGATTCTATGCATTTGGAATTGATGAAGAACGGTGTAAACTAAAACCAAATTATAAAAAGCTGAAAATAAAATGATTTATGTTGAGAAACAGTGATAGCCCTAATAATACCGATAATTTATTAATTGCATGTTATCCTCTTTCACGGTTCTCCATATTTGGATAATTATATTTATCGTATTCCTTGTTACCGAAGAATTGTAACATACTATCAACAGTTATGATCCAAGCTCGATATTGTTAACAGGTTTCTTTTTATTTGACACAAACTCCTCACAAGTGACCAATCAGAAAACCACCCTCACATGTAACTAACCAGAAAACCACGCATTTGTGGCTTTGTAAATATGTTGGCTTTGGCTCAACGACTTTGCAATACATAGTAAGTACAATTAATTTTCTACTAGATTTCGAGCTCGAGGAATGGACTAATTATTTAATTAATTAATGTTATAGATATATGTTATCATCGATTTATACGATTGTTATCAATATGTTCACAGCATATCATTCAGTCAGATTTGTATTATATGTAGTGTAGTTAAAGATTTTGAACTAATATGAAATATTAGATGCTACGTATTTACGCACATTGCGGAAAAACGACGATTCTCCAGGATTCTGTCCTGTTTCAAATTACTGCGGAAGAGAAGCTAATCTTTTTGAATCCATGCCCATTTTTTAAAAGTGTTTCGTCACTATTAAATAAAAACCGAAGCGATCGCCAGTGTTTGGACATGCAGAATAGTCCTGAAATTTGACCTGCTATGACATATATTGAATATTTCAAGACCCAAGTGAGACTCCGCGAATGTTCTCAGCGTACACGTCCCAGTTTGTGTTGAAATACTAATGATGAAATATATTCAGGGCGTCTGACTTCAATAAATATTTAAAGAACTCAGATCACATGATATTGTATTTTATTTCATTTCATTTGGTAAAATATTGGGCATATGGTGCATTCAAGTTGTTTGAACATTTACTGAAAGTAGATTATATTCTATCTATGGAAGGTGATGAAATCCTCCAGACATATCAGCTCTGTAGTTGGAGACCTGCGTTTATATTTAGAGTAAAGACACCATGTTATGACAGATGTGCTGTAATAACTTGGAGTCCAATCCATCATGTCAGTGTGGACGAACTCAATTAACATATTCATGAGTGAAAAGCTGTCGTGCTATCCGCTTTAATTATGTGACACAGCTTGCGGGTACGCGGGTCATAGTTCAAATCAGAAAATATACCCATCATATACCCATTCGCTATATAACGAAGAAAAAAAACACAATTCTAAAAAGAAGCGAAAATTTTAAAAAATATTCTCGGGTAATTGTTATAAAATATCTAATTCAATAGGACAACTTGAAGATGTAGTATAAATATAAATTGCGTAATTAAAATAACAGACTAAATTGGATCGTGATTAATTCCCTTGGTAACATAGCTGTACCACCGGTCACACGATGACGTTTAGAATCGGTACTACGATGACGACAATGTACATGATTGGTCACCATAAGCCAATTTCAAAGTCATTACTTACCTGTAAATATCTAATCAACATAAGATGCTAAAACTACCCCACAGAGTGTGTATCTTCAATTCATTCGGTGTCAACTCGGACGTCATAAATGGCATCGATCCATTGCCTCTGACATCATATTTGTCACTGACGTGTCCACTTGTGGCAGCACATGTTAAAACTCCGTTTTTCGGCATTGTTTACTGTCTACATAATTATTCATCCCCGCCACAGATGCTTCGTAAGGAGAATGTCCGCACGAGGGCGCTACATTTATTTAAATACATTACAGTTTATTTGACAATTGGCAGGCAGCATTTCTAATGTATTTTTAAAATCTGCCTATAGCTTTATGGTTTATTCCTGTGTCTAGCCCAAGTCAAGTTCTAGGAATGCCTGAGGCATTTACTAGTATATCGACCTTGTGATAGTGTTGGCTTTGAGTAAATACACTGACTAAAATTAACAGTACTAAAAATAGCTGGTTCAAATTTACTTTGGTGTCGGTTATTGTCTTTCGAACTATGTTATGAATATTCATCAGTTGATCGTTTGCAGCTTTGAATATAGCCCTCTCAATATACTCATTTTATGAGAACAATAGAAAAAAATTGAGAAACTTTTACATACGCGTTGAGCATTCATGCGTAGTGTAATAAGTGCTCCAAGGCCTTTAATAGTGTTTTATATATTGTTTTCAATTTGCAAACGGAACGACCCCAGAACGACATTTACCTGTGAAAATAGACTTTTTGAATGTATTTTAACATATGCTCTCGAAATGTATATATATATATATATATATATATATATATATATATATATATATATATATA